ACCAGCCCGCCAGCACCCCCACCCACGAGGCAACCAGCCTCAGGAGCAGCGCCTCCCTGCAAGTTGGGTTGCCTACTTGCGGGCGAGCACCTAGCGAAGGAGAGTGGACGACAGTACGCACCAACGTAGAATGTTTCTGCGTTGGTGAAAGCTTTAAAATGGGCGGATTGTTGCGGAGACACGTTTGATAAACGCACGTTTGATTTGACCTAGTGGCGGACCACACACATTTCCGACAATTCCTTGACAATTTTCGGAATTTGTGCGTGTGTTTTATGTCTTTTGAAAATTTCAACAAAGTCACGTTTTTCCTGACAGTAATACAAAGCGCCGTTGTTTAGGAGGGTTGTCAGATAGAGAGAGAGGGGGTGGGGGGGGGGGGGGGGGTGCTCCTGTCCGCTCGCTCGCTCCGGCCCTTCCGGTCCACACACAAGCATATAGGGCGCGAGCGTCGTGCAGCAGAGATTAAAGGACCGGAGAAAGAAAGCGGAGGGGGCAGAAAGAGACGTTCCGGAGACGCCGCGCTAGTGTATATATATACACGCACAAATATCACCAATTACTCTTCCGAGACGCAGTGCCGTAGGGCAGCGGCGGGCAAAACGGGGCGATCACGACCATGTTTTATTCGGTTTTTCGCCTTAGGCTGTATTCACCTTTAGAACAGAGCGCGCCGGTATTGCTGTATCGGTAGAAAGGGCCCCCTCCGTCGAACTCGTCCCTTCGAGTTTTAGAGGTGGCCGACGGACGGGCTGCGCCAGGCCACCGCGATGACGACGACAAGAACAGCAGCGCGATCAGCAGGGTAAACAAGTGCGGATATAGTAAGGGCGGATAGACCAGGGTCTGCCTGAAGCTGGAGGGGGAGGGGGAGGGGGAGGGGGTGAAACTACTCGAGGCGGGGCGAGGGGATGGGCGCGTGCTGCGGCTAGGGTGGGAGAAAGAAAAGGTGTGCAAGAAATTGTACAGCACTCGGTTGCCCTTTACTTTTGAAAAACAAAAACTAGTCAAGCGTTCGTACTCCCGCGAAAATAGGTGGCATCTCTGTCATATTGAGTAGTAGCGGGAGGCATGCAGGACGACTAACCAGGATACAAGCCTCGAGCCAGGTGAGACACCTTGAAAGCAAATACCAAATAAGTAGTGCTGAAAGCAACAACAACCCCATCCCGGCCGGGACGAGGGGAGGCACAACACCTGACAGGTGGCCCTCCAGGGACTGATGGTGCGTCTTCTCGTTTGTCCCCCCCCCCCCCCCCCCCCCTCTCTCTCTCTCTCTCTCTCTCTCTCTCTCTCTCTCTCTCTCTCACTCTCCACCGCAGAAAGCACTGACGCCGCCCAGGTGTGGCCCCGCGACCCCAAGGCCCCTGCCACCAGCCACCACTGATATTGCCATCATTTTTTCGGGTAAACAAACCGGGGTAGGGATACCCTAGGCTTACAATGTCCGAGTCCTGCTCTTCCTCTTCCTCTTTCATCCCTTCTCTGCTATTGCTATTCCCTCCTTTCGCTCCGTTTGACGTGGTGGTGAGATAGTAGTTGTTTCCAGAGCGTCGTCTTCTGCTGCACCACCGCTGCGACGCTGCCGCCGCCCGCGGCGTTGCTCCGCCTCGCCATTCGAGTCGTATAATGGTGCTGCAGCCATCTGTATCAATTCGCGGCCCTCGCACCTACGCTGCTGCAGTGTAAATCCCCCCCCCCCCTCCTCCCTTTTATAACACATGCGAGTCACCCCGCGGACCAACTTTACTTTTCCCCGGCGACTGGGGCCTGGGGCGGCGGTCAACTCTGAAAGCACTCATCATTCACACAGAGATTCCCCCTCATTCGCGCACACGCTACACGCAGCCGCCCGAAATACGAAAGGTCGATCCAGAGGGGGGGGGGTGGAGCGGGGCGGAGCGGAGCGGCGGGGCGTCCGCGAGTTCCCAAATTACACCGACCAGGTTTTAAATGGAGGCAGAGGGGCGGTCAGGCGGCCCGGCCCGTCCAGGGCGGCGTCCCCCTCGCCCTCGTGCACCCCGAGTCCACCCTGGCCTACCACAACCGCGCGGCCACGGGGACGGCGCGCAGAGGACGCAGGACCAGGCCTGGAGGGGGCATATGTTTGTGGCAGGCGAGGGGTAATTCAGCGTACACTCTACAAACGAACAGTAAAAATCTAGGAAAATCAAAGACAAATTGGGAAAATCAGTGCACGCTTGAGTTTATGGCGAAAGTACCCCTCGGCAGCAGGGCACGCCAAGCACTCCTCGTTGATCACCAGCAGCAAGCAGGACACCCGCGACTGGCGCAGCAGGACGGCGAGGACGCGCACTGAATCCGAGCCCGGCATGTCCGTGAGGGGCATGTCCTCGAGAGGGGGAGGCCGTGAAGGGGGATTGGCTCCGACAAAGTGTCCGAGCGGGCGCCACTTACCGACGGGTCCTGGCGCTGCTGCTGCCTCGGCTGCTGCTGGTCCTCGCACCTGAGCCGCACGTCACCTTACATAGTCCCTCGGGGGCGAGCGAGCAGCGCCGGCAGCGGCGCGCGAGGCCTACACGACCACGGCGGCGGGCGAGGCGGGGCGGGGGCGGCACTGAGCGCTGGCACAGGGGCCCAGCGTGCGCGCCGGCTCCGGCCGGTCTGGAGAGAGGAGGAGGCCCCGAGCGTACGGAGTGCAGGGGTGGGGGAGGCTGCGCCAGGCTGCGCGAGCCCGACCGCTGGCGCGCCCGACCCGCCCGGCCCGCGGCACCGGCCCACCCTCCTCGTTACTGCCAGCCTGTTGACTGTAAAATAGGGCGTAATAATACACGCGCGCCCGCCGGGCCGGGCGGGGCGAGCCGAGGGGTACTATCAACCCAAAAGTAGACCAATTCCTCTGATTTGTCTTGTGTTCTTGATTTTTCCTTAATTTTTCTGATTCCTGACATTTTGGAGGGTTTCCACTAGTGTTTTTAGCAGATGATACATTATACACAACTGAAATTAATAATACTTTACTTAACTATGTATCATTGCTTGTACTCTCATGCGGAGCGCTGAGAGGCACAAGGCATGACGTCATCCAGAAGTGTGTGTAGGGGCGCGTGGTGCGGCCCCCGCCCTCCCGTCCGACCGTGCCAGCAAACCAAAGCCCATAGCTACGCGCAGGCCCCCCTCCCCTTCCCCCTCCCGACTCGGCTCGTCGCTCGGCTCGAAGCGCAGCTCGGCTCGGACCGTCTCGGCAGAGGAACGCGCGCGGCGCGGTAATTCAAACTCTAACCTCACTATGAAGAGACAGAACTAAATAAATTCAGAAACATTATTTTCAAACCATGTCTTATTGAGAAGTATCACTCGCAAACTGTCTCTACGTCCCTCTTAACACTATGTCTTAGACCCTTCAAAACTTTACAAAGTATAGGAGACACAGAACACAACCCAAATCTTTTTAAGTATAAATATTTAATTAAGTGTGAATTAAGATTTGTAAATTATCGATATACTTCTGCAAGTAATGCGTCCCGTGATCTTCCACTGAAATATTATAGTCTGGAATAATTTTTGAATTCGTATCATCTGCTTTCACGATCCGTTCCTGAACGGAACTTTTTTTAGGCAGTCCCCAACACTGTATCAGAGGGAAAGTGCCCCCTCCCCCATCCCTCCCCGCTATTCTAGCACGCGCGTTACGTACGAAGTGTTTGGGGGTGTTGGGCATGCCTGGCATGCCACGCTCGACTGCGACCCGCTGCGCTTCCCCCACTCCTGCGGACTGTTACCTGAGATGTACGAAAAACTAAGGAGGAGGGACTTTGCGTTTGAGTGAAGGACTCCTCGTGGGCAGCACCGAAGAGTCCCGCGATGACGTCCTGGCGGCCATCGTGGTGGCAAGACGTGGCCGCCAAAGGTGAGGTGAGGGCACCGCGCCGTCGTGAGGGGCCATGGTGATCTTGACGTCGTCTGAGGTGTGCTTACAGCATCCGGAGGCGCAACCTTGAGATAGCTTGCGCATCTGCTCTTCGGTGGCGGGCAGGGTCTTCTTTGGGGCCGCAGCGCTAACTGCTCCCCCAACTCCCTCCCCCCCTCGTAACGTGTCGCCGCCATTCGCTGACTCGCGCGAAAGAGCCATTGTCGTCTTTCGGCTGGGCCATTATCACCCCCGTGCCGGCGGTGTTGGTGGTTAGGGGTTAGGTGGCCTCCTGCCGTCCTGCCCGGAGTACAGCTACGGCCAGCGCGACCTCCCGTCCTGCCCGGGGCAACGCGAAGCTGCATCAGTCAAAAATAAAAAAATAAAATACCCCCCCCCCCATCTTTTCCGCGGGCAGCTGCTTTAATTTCAAATTTATGCCTGGGAGCAGAAGCTCGGCGACACCTCCGGAAGCACGCCGGCGCCCGGCGCCCACCAACCCCACCGCACGACCGCACCCCTACCGCACAACGACTCGTTCTGCTTCGCGCCCCGCCCCGCCCCGTCCCGCCACAGTGGAGTGGAACGCCAGGCGTGTGGTGAAGATCCCTGCTGGCCCCGAGCGCCAGGACTCACAACACAATACGGAAGGGGGAGGGGAGGGGGGGGGGGCACCGGGCCGTGCGAGGGGTGAAAGGGAGGGGGCGAAGCGGGAGGGGTAAATGAGGAGCTAACCGAAATAAAACGGCCGCCAACTTTCCCGGGGGCGAGTGCCGACTGCCTAGACCCCTTGCACCCCCTGCAGAGGGTGGGGCGGGGTGGCGGAGCGTGGCGCAGCGGTGCCATCAGAGCCTGGCAGAAATGAAAAAAAAAAAACACCTCCTTAAGCGCTGGCAAATTTATTTACTTAGGAAACGGGCCGGGCGACGACGCGGGACGGTGCGCCCCTCCCAGGGACAGTTGCGCCCAGGGGGGATGGGGCAACCCCTTTGCTTTGTAACGATAGCTGGAGTCGTCCGGGCTGCGACCCAAAGACGCTGATGGTTCCTCGTTCAAAAACGCGCTCGCCACGAATTCTGTCTTCACCTTTGGGTAATGTCCAACAATCTCTGTTAGTATAGCCTAGGACTTGATAACTATAACATTTTAAAAACATGTTTGAGTTGCTAAAAACAAAAATTTTGGTAGTTGTGATTTTTTATGAAATAAATGAGTTCTCTTAACATATTATTTAAACATTACATAGTTACACTTACCCTTAGCTTACCCCCCCCCCCTCTCCCCCCTATTTCGTGTTTGTTCAAGGTTCATGAATACCACCACATGGACCCAAGGTGTTGCACCGTGTTGCACATATGTGTAATGACCAAGAAATTCCATGGTATCACCATGAGAGTCTCATACTATGGGCACATTAGTGTGGCTTCTCACACGTGCGCTCAGATAGGAAATATATATGTAATTAAAGCCCTCAGAAATTGAAGCCCAAACAACATTTTCATTAAACACCATATATTTAATAATACTGTATCCTTAGTATTTTTACATTTCAAAACATTGGTTACAAGTACAATCGTTTTCGAATAGTCTGAGGGTTTATAATCCCTAAAACTCTGTTTACACAGCTCAAATATAATTTATGTACAACATTTTTCGTGACCCCTGAGGTTAGATATATTGCTAAAACGTTTATCACACCCATCACACTGATACGGCTTTTCGCCAGTATGTAATCTCATGTGCCTGACGAGACTGCCTTTCCCGGTAACACGCATTTTACATACGTCACACTTGAATGGCCTTTCACCAGTGTGTGTCCTTATGTGGGCGACAAGAGTGGATTTCTCGGTAAAACGCATTGGACATAGGTCACACTTGAAAGGCTTTTCACCAGTGTGGGTCCTCATGTGAGCAACAAGCGTGCATTTATGAGTAAAGCGCATTTTACACACATCCCACTTGTATGGCTTTTCACCAGTGTGTGTCCTCACGTGAGCGACAAGATGGCCTTTCTCAGTAAAACGCTTTGGACAGAGGTCACAGCTAAATGGTTTTTCACCAGAGTGGTACAATCTATGCCTCTTTAAATGATAAATTCGTGCAAAACTCTTCTCGCAGACGTCGCACTTGAAGGCCTCTCCAGTGCGCCCACCCGAGTTCGCTTGCAGAGCGCCACTGGTACTGTTTTTACTTCCGCTCCCGCTGCCGGTGTACTTCCGGCCGAGCTGCTTCTTCCGCAGCACCCGCGAGGCCTCCTGGGCGTCCTGCTGTTTGTTCTGCACCGGCTGAGCGTCGTGGGTTGCACACCGGACGGTAGAGCCACCCTGCCTGGTTGCGTCGCCGGGAGGAGACGCTACTTCTTCGTCGCGGTGCTCGGGTAGCACCTCGCCGTCCCCAGGGCCGCCCCTCGCCGCGTCCTCCGCGGGGCACTGCTCGTCCTGCAGCGAGAAGCACGCCGTCACCACCAGCCCCAGCTGCTCGTCCTCTTGTTTGAGTTTGTTGAGCTCGGGGCCCTCGCCGACAGTGACATGTCCAGGATCCTCCCCAAGGAGAGCCCCGCTGCTGGGCGAGGAGCTGTTATCAACACCTGTAACAAGAGCACCGCATCAGACAACAGCGTCGAGAAGGTGCAAAGGCCGTCATAACCATAACTGGAAAGCACGAGCAAAGAACAAAATAGAAGTGTCGTCGGGTCGATCAAATATTTCGTGCCTCGTTTTTATTCGTATCACAATAAACAA